GTGTTATGCACTATTCTTTATGCACTTAAAGCTTAAACAACCCAAAGAGATGGGCACAATTATCACCCCCATTTTACAGGTAGAGAAACTGAGCTCTGTTCTAAGCATTTTACATGTGTCAGGCCCTAGAGATCAGACGGATCTATATGACCGTCAACGTGAGGCTAGCAGACCTGGGAGGCAGGTGCCATGCTCCGTGTGCTTCCACCATGCGCCATTCACTTCAGTTATTTCTACTCCCAGAAACAACAATGGCCACGTCTGACAGTGACAAAGCGACAACTGAGTGCCCTTGGGGCAAGAACGACTCCTCTACCTGACCAGTCTGTGGAGTCATTTGGGATGCTGCTCTTGACTAAGTGGCTTCCAAACTGTTCTCCTGCCCTCCCAGAGAAACTGTCAGCCTCTGAGATTCCCTAGAAAATGTATTTCCAGCCAGAGGTGTATTCAGCTGTTGCAGCTGAAGTCACTGGTTGATACATGTGTACAACACGTGTTAGTTTTCTCTTCTCTGCAAGTCTGCATGGTGTATCAAGATTTTAAATGTTGTTTCACACTTACATCTCTTATTAAGAATCACAAATTTCACTATGTCATCACATAGACTCTTGGAAAGTCTCAAGTGAGTTTTCTTAACAGAAAAAAGGTGTGTCATCATGTGATTCTCCAAGCTGAGATTCTTGCTGGAAAGCAAACAGCACTATTCCTTCTTTGATGTCTCCGAGGACAAAGAGGAATGGGTGAGCGTTTTCAGGTCTTCAACAGACTGTGAGTTTGGACTCCTATGGGCACTTATTCCCACCTCCCCCACTCACGAGACATACCCAGGATGATGATCCATCCTCTCTTCCAGCTGCCCAACTCACTTGACCTTGGGGTGGGGTAGGTGAGAGGATGTGTTGCCTTTGGAAGTCCATCTCCAGCTTGTTTAATTCTTCCTCCAAACCCATAGATAACTGTTGCAGGTTTTTTTCCCAGCTTCATTGAGGTATGATTGACTAATAAATATATATTTGAGGTATACAATGTGATGTTTTGGTATAGGTATATATTATGAAATGATTATCACAATTAATCTAATTAACATATTCATCATCTCACATAGTTATGTGTGTGTGTGTGTGTGTGTGTGTGTGTGTGTGTGTGTGGTGAAAAAACTTGAGATCTACTCTCTTAGAAAATTTCAAATACACAACACAGTATTGTTAACCTTCGTCACCATGTTGTACACTAGGTCTCCAGAGCTTATTCATATTATAACCAAAACTTCACAACACCTTTTGACCAGCATCTCCCAGTTTCCCCCACCCGCTAGGCCCTGGTAACCACCATTCTATTTGCTGTTACTATTGATATAAAGTTGCCTTTCTTAGATTCCGCATATAAGTGAGGTCAAGCAGTATTTGCAGACACAATTGTTGTTAAAAGAATGATTCCACAAAGTCCTTTATTACTCATTTATTATTTTTACAGTATAACACATTTATATCTGTTATAAATATATTCCAAACTGGAGATTCACAGATGTTAATGAACTTGCTCACTGGGTCACTTGTCTCTTAATCCCACTACCTTGTGCTGTTTGCACTTTGATTAAAGGATGGAAAAGGCAATGTGAACCCATGTGAATCAAGTTCAAGGATAAATGCTGTCAGGGACCAATTCCAACCCTTCTGTGCTTTGTGTGTGTGATCTGAGGGCCAGCCAACCACTGCCTCTCCGGGTAGCAACTGACTCCCTGATGGATTGATAAAAAACACATATTAAAATCTTGACTCATGTAGTAAAAATAAATTGTTTCATTATTTTTTAAAAACTGTGAGAAAAATGTTAGGTTAACATTGCATTTATAAAACGCCTCTTAAAGTTATACTCTAGGTTTACTTTAACATTTTACTTCATACAATTTTAATTTGCCATACAGGACATTTATCTATATACATAAGTATTTGCCTTTTAAAAACCCACAAAAACAGAGTCATTCTGTGCAGTACAAATTCTACCTGAGATGCTCAAGTCACAGTCTTAGGAGTTGTTCTCAGGAGGAATGGGATGCCAGGAAGTAAGTCAACGTGGCTCCTGCTGCATCCCTTCCATCGGGGAGTGTGCACTTCTGGGTTGAGCTTGTTTCCAACAAGAGCTAAAATGCACAGAAAGCTATCAAGCCAAAGAAAGAATGTATTTTGCCAAAATATTTGATATATACTTGGCTTTGTCTGCCAGGTATATAAGAGACACAGATGTGGCATGAAACAGGTCAACATAATCAGTGACATGGGGCTAAAGAAAGACCCACTGAATGCGGCATCACTGTGGATTGAGAGACACTGTCTTTTGTAACACAAAAGTGTGTGTACACATACACACACTTATACATACATATGTATGTATGTGTATCCTTTCAAGTATCAGAACTGTATTTGAAAGTGTGCCTCAAATATTATAAGGTCATAAACCATTACAGAAGGAAAATAGAGAGCCTTTAGGAGTTGGAAAAGGGAAATTAGGTTCTGGGTCATTCCCATACTCAGCCTTTGAGGGAGTATGATGGTGGGTACAAGTTGGCATAGTAAGAGGATTTCCTAGAGCAAACAAGAATAAAGTGGGGAGACAGGGCACAGCAGGTTTATGAGTAAAATATGAGTTTCATAAGCAATCAATTATTCAGTAGAAATGTCACTTATATGAAGAGCGATATGGAGGATCTATTTAGATATGTAGGTCAGAAAGTCCTTAGGGCTAGAGGTGCATGGTCAATGGCAAAGGTGCAAAACTGGAACTACAGAGAGAGCGGAGGCAGGGATGAAACATCATGGTAATGAAGATACAAAGGTGTTGCAAGAAGAAAATAGCACCTCAGCCCCCAGCCACCTGCAGGGCTCCTCAGGGCTCTCTGCAGCATCGTGGGAAGCCTTGGGACCAGCCTCCTCTTTGGTCTCCACCAGCTTTGACCTTAAACACTTAAATGAGTCTTCTTGGGGGAAGATTCTCACAAATTGATTTTTACTAAATCCATTTCATCTTTGAAAGGGGGCATAAAGAACAAAATTTTCCTAACACAGGGAGCCACTTCATGGGGTATCCTGGTGAACAGGAAGGTACCTTAAAGGATTCAGAACTCAGCAAGCAACCCCAACAATAAGGCAGAGTCTTGAGAAGAAAACAGCCAGGTTACCCAGTGGATTAGCAGGGAGCTATTTCTGAAGACTTTCTGCAGGTAGGCAGGAGGCAAACCTGAATCTTAATCAGAACTGGTCCCTAGCATCCATTCTCATGTCCAGCCAAGACTACATCCCACAAGGATGTGCCTAAGTGGAGAACAGGCTGTAGCTGTAAGGGCTGCTGAAGGAAACAGGATTGTCAACCAGGGGCAGGCAGAAAGGAGCCAACCTTGGGTGAGTGATTTCTTACATATGAGACACTATGCTAGACTGTCAATTTTTGTCATCTTTTTTAGTTCTTACCACATTTTGATGAGGGTAAGTTTATAATCCTTATTTAAGTGACAAAGAAGCTGAATTTCAGAGAGGTTAGGTACTTCATTCTAGATCACAGAATGATGCCAAAGTATGAACCCAGAAATGTCCGACTCCAAAATTTATGCTGTTCTCAACAAACCTAGTGGGTTCCCTGAAGGATTCTCAAATTAGCTTATTAATTCTTCACTCAATGCATCTATGTTTTAACCAAAAAACTAGAAAATCTCCAGATGTTTAAAAATTAAGCAACACATTTTGAAATAACAATTAAATCAGAAAATATTTTTAACTAAATGGTAATTAAAAGAGACATATCCAAAAATTTTAAGAGCTGCAGCTAAAGCAGCACTCAGAGAAAAATTTATAGTGCTAAAATGTACATATAAGAAAAGAAAATGTACTGAAAAATCAATGATCTAAACTTCCATCTTAAGAAGCTGAATAAAGAAACCCAAAGAGATTAGAAGGAATATCTATATCTCTAATAATAAAGAGAAAAGCAAAACCCAAATAAGTAGAAAGAGAAAATCAACAAAGTTAAAGGTTGGTTCTTTGAAAGAGTAGTAAAAGTGATAAGCCCCAAGCAAGACTAATCAAGTAAAATTCAAGTGAGAAATAAATTGTCACATCAAGAACAAATATATATATTTTAACTGCCTCCTACATAAATAAGACACTGAGAATGAGGAGGAGAAGGAAGAGGAAGAGGACAAAAATAGTCTCTGTTTTGAAGCCATCTAGGAAATCACATTTCAGATTCTACTGTATTTGATTTAACCCAACATGCATTTATTGGAAGAGAACATAAGGGCTGTCCATCTGATTTTATCAGTCTAGAAAGAGAGAGCACATGAATTTTGGAGTTGAATAAAACTGAGTTCAAATTCATTCTCTACCTTGAGCTAAATGTATGATTTTGGGAAAAGTATATAAACTCTCTGAACTTCCTTTTTCTCATTGACAAATGGGGGATAATAATATCAACCTCATAGGGCTATTGGAAGGATGAGAGGTAAAGCACCAAGCATGTGGGTAGCTTATATCTTACAGAATATTTTTCCCAACATGACCCATAACCATGGCATTTATAGTTTATCTGTAGGAAGGGTACGAAAATATATCCTGAAACAATGTCATTCATTTGGAAATGTAACCTTTTCTGAAAAGTCTGGGCATTTACTTTTCTTGACCTGCCAATAAGAGAGTCCTGGAGTGGTCATTCTTCAATGGACAGGATGCTACCAACATATTAATAACATAAAGCATCATATGAAAATTAAAATGAAATAATATAAAATTTCCACTCTAATTTTATACAATAATTTTTCTTGACTATTAGGAGATCAAAAGAAAAACTATGCCAATAACATAAGTTATTTTAAGACTCTAGAGGAAAAGGCTCCCATCTCCAGTGTTGATATTATGACAGAGAATTCCCCCGAATCCTCAGCTTTCCACCAGCGTGTCTCCTGAGTCGTGCATTTTGAGGTATACTGCAGGACCTCAACCACGCAGACTGGCTCATCTGCAAGACGAATCCTCAGGCTTTTTCACACACTGAAGAAACTTGACAGAGCTATGATGAGAAAGGAAAAAAGGAGATCAAGAGGCAGTACAATACACCTGTGGTCAACTCACCAATGAAAGAAGCCCCTTTGTTAACGACAAAACTACGCATGGACCACTTAGCATCCACACAAGTTTCTTTCCTGCAGTGACAACAAGGAAAAAGGTCAAGTCCAAGAGTGAATGACTGAAAGTACAGCCCAATTTAGCTTCATTTCACTTGTAAAGCCATAGAAATAAATAACTGATGTTTGATGATAATATGTGGAGATGAAAATGTCTGGCTCACACAAGTCACAGATATGTGCTATGAATGTCAGCTGATAGTCAGGAAGCAGCAGAAGCAGCAAGCTAAGAGGAGGGACCTCCATATTTTCTGTTGAGGATTTGCTTTCTCTTCAAAAACTTCCTGAGGAAGTGTTGGGTCTAAGCGTCAGGCAGCAAGAGGTCATAGACTCTCTGGGAGATGGCTGGTGGCCATCAGCAAAAGGACCGCAATCCTTGGCACAGAAAGAATCCTAGATAAGTATTGGCAGGTGGATGACTCTCGCTTTCATAAAAATCAAATGACAACGCCACAGGGTCCAATGGGAGTGGTTAGCACATGAAGGAGAGGGCTGGAGAACCCGGTAAGTGGTTCCTTAAATTGCAGCTGAATCTGATTTTGCTAAATGTGAGTCAAGAGAGAGAGCGAGAGGCTTAGAAGCAGCTACCAGTACCCCCTGGATTTCTAGGATAGGCCATCTCAGGCTCATCTCTAGGCAACTGTCATGACCAGTTGGGTATAGTGGCTCTAAGTAGAGAGTCAAGCCATCCTCACCAGTACAGTGATCTGAGATTCCCCACATGAATACATTCTAGGAGGGAAAAGTATCTTCTTCCTTAAGGAAATAATGCTTCAGAAAAGGAATCTTTAGAGGACTATTTAGGATTTTTAAAGCCACCTTTGCTTTACAGTAAATGAAGAGAATAGGAAGACATTTCTTAATTAGTTTCTCATTTATTGGGAAGTCAGTTTTGGTAAAGGAGCAGCAATTGTGCTGTTAAGATAATCTCTCTCCAATAATATATAAATATCCACATCCAATGTTCCAGTAAAATGGACACAATGGTGATATTTTGGATAGCACATTGAGGATAGAGACAGAGTATCTTGAAATAACATAAAAGGAGAAATGCACCTTTAGGGTTTTTAAATATGCCACTAGGGCACACTAGCCAGAAAAAGCATTCTGACTATTTGCTTTTTTTTTTTTTTTTTTTTTTTTTTTTTTTTTTTTTTTTTTTTTTTTTTTTGGCGGGGTGCGGGGAGGGGTACGCGGGCTTTCGCTGTTGTGGCCTCTCCCGTTGCGGAGCACAGGCTCCGGACGTGCAGGCTCAGTGGCTATGGCTCACGGACCCAGCTGCTCCACGGCATGTGGGATGTTCCCGGACCGGGGCATGAACCCATGTCCCCTGCATCGGCAGGCGGAATCTCAACCACTGCGCCACCAGGGAAGCCTTATTTGCTATTTTTAAAGTAATCCAAAAAGTAGTCTTTTAATTCCACTGCTTAAAACATATCTTAAGAAATTCTGGGGACATCCCTGGTGGCGCAATGGTTGGGAATCCGCCCGCCAATGCAGGGGACACGGGTTCGTGCCCTGGTCCAGAAAGATCCCACATGCCGCGGAGCGGCTAGGCCCGTGAGCCATGGCCGCTGAGCCTGCGCTTCCAGAACCTGTGCTCCGCAACGCGAGAGGCCACAACAGTGAGAGGCCCGCGTACCGCAAAAAAGAGTTGCCATTTAAAAAAGTAAATAAATAAATAAATAAATAATTTTAAAAATAAAAAAGAAAATCTGTGTATATTTTATAAAACTGAGTGTGTGTATGGAAAAAATGACTTTAAGGATATACAGCCATATGTTAATCGTGTTTGTCTCTGAGTAGTGGGATTTATTAAAAGGTAGTAGAATCAGTCTAATCAGAAGGTCTAATCCACGTAAATGTAATTACAATTCTGTTTGCTTATTTAAAAAATCACACTGAAACAGCGGGACAAATTTGGCTAAATTGGAAAGTATGTTTGGGATGGAGTGATTTAAATGTACAGTCTACATTTATATCCATGACATTCACTTTGGGCTCCCCTAGAGACAAGCAGCTTGCAAAGCCACAGAACTCTTAGACACAACAAGGGCTCCTGGAAATTCAAGGAGGCATGCCGAGTATATCACGACCTCATGGTTGGAGAAAAACAACAGTGATTTCAAATACGATCCCCAAGTTTAAGGTCACATGAGCTGGTGCTCTGAGTGAGAGGTGCTGGCTTACAAATCACTTCTTCCTAGGTGGGCCACTGTACAAGTCCAGGTGGGAAGGTATGCTTAATTATTCTTCCCAGGTGGAGAATGAATGAGCTTACCCAGAGCCTGCAGTTTGGGCCATTCATAAAAAAATGGGGAATGCTTAATGTAAGAAAAGAGATAAAAGAGCGTTGGGGACGACTCATCTACATTCCCCAATCTTGTCCTAGGTTTTAGCATTCCATTTTCTCAATGCAAAGTATCTTTGAGTAACTTAACCTGGTCAGATGTTTGCCATGTTTCTTTTATAGTTGTTCCTTTGTTCTGTTTGTTTTCCCATCTGACTGCTATAGAAGGCTTCTGTTATTTTCTGGCAGTTTCCAGAGAGAAGCCAGCTGACTGATGGGGAATTCAGGTCATTTGAGAGACAAAGGCCTCAGTGACTGTTCTTTGAATCTGCCCTTCTGTTTTTCTGACATGGTTGGTGGGAAAGGGAGGTGACAGGGAAGTGATGGGAAAAGTATCCTAACGTTTCAGCTTCTACATTCCTTAAGAAAAGTTTTCTCTCTGCATCTGTCTTGTTCCAAGCTATCACATATGGGAAAATTTCCAAAGATGCTTTTAGCAAAGATCCCTGTCTATATTAAGTATTGGCCACAACTTCTTAAAAGTAGTGAGGGGAGAGGGGTCCCAGCTTTTGATAACAGGGTTGCAGGTGACTTTAAAAATATATACCTATCTGTAATTTGAACTTTTCTCCAATAAACATGTATTACTGGTAAGTATTTTTTTTAAGATTTTACATTTTTTCATTAGAAAATGATAAACCTTGGTAAACTGCCATTTGGCAACTTACCAAGTGTTAGGCATCTACACCGAGACCCAACTAAAGAAAACCCACCTGCAAAATTATACCAAGTCACAAGGATTTTATAAATCCTTTGCATATGGCAAAACGTGTTTCTACTCCTCTGAAAGCTAGGAGTTCTGGGTCAGGCCTCTCGTGTGGGAAACCAGGAAAGATGCCCTCAAAGTCTGGGTCAGCTTTACAGGAAAGTAACTGCTTGAGTCAAGTGTGGAAGGAAGAGGAAGAGGAGGGAAGATGGACAGCAGGAGACCACTGGCTGGAAACACCTTCTGGGCTGAGCTGGGGGAAGAGAAAAGTTCACCATAGGTCACCACCCAGATCACCATCAAGGCCCAAGGGAAGATGCCTGTGGATGGCTGGACAGCCATTTCTTCTTCAAGAAGACATCAATTACCTGTAGTTATCGTGGCAAGTAAATTTGATATTCCTTTGCATTACAATCCATCTCAGATCATTTATGGAGGAACCCGAGCAGGAGTCACTGGGGAAAAAAAAGAAGAAAGTGTTAAAATAACAAGAGCTCACCAACATTTCCTGAGTCTCTTGGTTTCTTCCAGGTAGCAGGCCCTGGTCAAGGCCCTGAGGTAAAGAGGTGAAGCAGAGGTATCTTCTAAGAGCTCACAGGTCAGCAGGGGAGCCAGAGGTGTGAACTAGGTAGATACCTACCATGGAAATAAAATTAAGAGACTGTTGGAATGGGGTAAATGTAGAGTAAGGCCCCATTCACTTCCTGAGCCAGTCCTTTCTCAAAGCGTTCCTGTGACTGTGGATTCTTCCATGGACTGATTCCTGAAATAACCCTGAGAATATATGGGTACAAGGTAGTAACATATACCTGGGAAATTTTCCAAGGTCATGGATCACCCAAGCCTGTAGCGTATGAACCTTCATTGGATTCAAGTTATGGACTTCCACACGTCCAAAAGTGCTAAGATGGAAGAGACAAAGAACACTGTTAACCCCAGACTAAATTTTTCAGGCATCCACAGCCCCTGTGATAAAGCCAGCAGGCGGGGTGCCAGTGGTTAGAACTTACCCTTTGGATGTGATCCATGATTTGCATTAAAATCAGGCATCTTTACTCATTCAGTGTGACCCTAAATGAGTAAGATTCTCAAAAGAAGATTCTTAATCTGTACATTGATGTTGATTCCTTAAGTACTTGCTATTCCAACAGTGGGTCTTAGACCAATGTAATGAGCTCATTAGACCTGCAGAATCTCTGCCCACCACCACCTGCTGAATCAGAACCTGCAGCCGAACAATCGCCAGGTGGTCTACTCACTCTCTGAGTTTGAGAAGCACATTGTTGAAAGACCCCGATGTCCTGCTCTAACCCCAGCTTTAAACTCTCCCCACTAGTCTCTACCACTCCTGTTACAAGTACTTGGATCCCTAATATCAGATTACAAAATTCTGGAATGTTAACACTTGTACCCAAAAGCCTACAAGGTTGGGGTCAGAAGAAGACAGAAGGACAAATGCTTCTTGGTGGAATTAAACATTAAAAGAGGAGAGAAGGAAAATTAATTTGGGGCACATGGAGTGCCTGGGGCACATTAATATATGCTCCCTCCTCTCAATCAGACTTATCCGGGGAAAGACTGAAGAAGAGACACTGGAAAGGTAATCAACGTGGTCAAAACTGTAAGTACGGAAGGGGGTTAGAGAAGGGAGGCATGAGTGTGACCAGAGTCAGTGGTTAAAGGAGTGGATGTGGAATCTAGAAAAATGGTACAGGTAAACGTATTTGCAAAGCAGAAATAGAGTCACAGAAGTAGAGAACAAACTTATGGTTACCAAGCGGGGGAAGGTGGGGTGAGACGAACTGGGAGATTGGGACTGACATATATGCACTACTATGTATAAAAGAGATAACTAATGAGAACCTACTGTATAGCACAGGGAACTCTACTCAGTGCTCTGTGGTGACCTAAATGGGAAAGAAATCTAAAAAAGAGTGGGTATATTTATATGTATAACTGATTCACTTTGCTGTACAGCAGAAACTAACACAACATTGTAAAGCAACTATACTCTAATAAAAATTAATTAAAAATATGGGATTTCCCTAGTGGCACAGTGGTTAAGAATCTGCCTGCCAATGCAGGGGACACGGGTTCGAGCCCTGGTCCGGGAAGATCCTACATTCCGTGGAGCAACTAAGCCCGTGCGCCACAACTACTGAGCCCACGTGCCACTACTACTGAAGCCTGCGTGCCTAGAGCCCGTGCTCCACAACAAGAGAAGCCACCGCAATGAGAAGCACGTGCACCACAACGAAGAGTCTTCCCTCGCTCGACGCAACTAGGGAAAGCCCGCGCAGCAACAAAGACTCAACGCAGCCAAAAATAAAGTAATTTTTAAAAATTAATAAAAAACAAAGGAGAGGACAATAGCTGATACTCATCCAGCACTTTCTCTGTCAGGCACGCGGCTCAGCATTTGTCGTACATTATCCCAGTTAATCTTCATATCACCATCACCTCCTCAGGTACATACATACTACAGGGGCCCTGCTAAGGTCACATAGGTGAGATGTCATGACCTCTGGAGTCCCCGCTTTTAACCACTATAATAAACCACTGACACTGTCTGCAAAGAGGTAATGAAGGTCAAACGCCCAGCAGAGCTCCTGCTGTTCCCAATGGTAGACTTACTGCTGACTTGGGATTCATACCATCCAGGGAGGAGAGAGGAGCCGGGCAGATCTAAGTGGATGGTAAGACTTTAGATAGTCAGAAGGAAGGAGGAGCCGGGTCATGTGGGGGAGCAGCGTGGAAAAAGGTGGAAAATGGGCAGGATGGAAAGTCATGGGAGAGAGAGCTGAGATTATAGTAGGCGTTGTAAAGCCAAGAGGAGGAGCTGGACACGCGCAAGGACCATTAGGACTTTTGGAGGATTTTAAACAATGGAGAAACCAGACAAAAGTGTTGACTTCGAAAGACAAAGCTCTCCATAGAATACAAACATTTTACCTTTTTTAGCCCGGATTCAGTACTGACCTTCAACATGAAAAGCATATTCTTCTAAAGATGAAGTGGCCAATAGGAGACTGTGCTAACCCTTACAAATAGGATGCAAAGAAATAAGTACCTCTTTCTATCAAAGGCGTTACTGATGGATCCATTGAGCACCACCTGGGCCACACCACAGGCATTTTCTGCAAACTTAAAAACAAAAACACCATTCCTCAGCATGCAAACTTAAGTGCCACGCCCCAGCAGTTCCATCCCAAACAGCTCTTAGCATCATCTGGTGAAGGAGGAACGGCCTGTATGGCTCTAGCTTGGTCAGGCCAGATCTGTGTAATTTTCATCCCAAACCATTGGAGGGATTATGCTTCCCATGAGAGTTTTCTGGAAGCAGTTGCTCCAATCTGCGTCTGAACAATTAAGTTCAACATCATCACTGCTAAATTGGTGGTTCAGAAGGTGGAAGTCCAGGGACCCCCCTGGCAGTCCAGGGGTTAAGACTTAGTGCTTCCAATGCAGCGGGTGTGGGTTCGATCCCTGGTCAGGGAATTAAGATCCTACATGCCACGTAGTGCAGCCAAAAATAAAAGAAAAAAAAGGTGGAAGTCCAGATGAGTAATGGCAACATAATCACTGAAGGAGGAAGGGGCCATGCACTGTAGACACTGCACATTTCATTTAGTGGGAGCAGAGTAGACACGTAAGGAGTAAAAGAAATGAAGAAAGAAAAAAGAAAATGCCAAGAAAAAAGAAACTGTGGAGAGATGGTGACACTGAAGCCTGCAAAGGCATAAAGAGAAACGGGGAATGGATGAGTGGATATTTTTGAGCAAGGGGTTTTATTCTGCTGGAATCTTCCCTAGGCACTGGGGGAAAACAAGATGAACAAAACTAAGCAATATACTTGTTTCCTCCAGGAGGCCCATCCAGATCCCTGGGACTAGCTCAGGTCTCCTTCACACATTATACAACTATACCGCATTGTGAGGTTGAGCTTAACGTGGGGTTAGCCACCAGTACTGAGAGTTCTGTGAGAGCTGTGAGCCTGGCTGTCCCGCTCACCACTGCAGTGCTGGAGCCTCGCAGCTAGGGCATGGCACAGAGTGGGCGCCCACGGAGAATCCATGCATGGAGAAGAGGCAAGGAGGGAAAGGGGAGGCAAGAAGTCCAAATACTCTGCGATGGAGAGTGTGGAAGAACCCAGGACAACAGAAGCCAACTCCTGAAGGATGAATCCGATTCTGCCTGGTAGAGGTCGAGGCAGACGCAAACCAAAAGGCCCAGGAGCTTGCGAGAGGAGTGATGTTTGGGGGAAAACTTCAGTGGATGCTGAAGCTAGGAAGATTAGTTAGTTCACAGAGGGCCATGAATGCTTTGCCAAGGAATCTGGCCTTTACTCCGCAGGAGATAAAACACTACTGAACAATTTGAAAGGGAATTGTGAAAATCCTGTGTGGTGTCCGTCTTTCTCCTGGGGGTGATGAGCAGAGGACAGAGGCCTGATTACTAACAATCACAAGTGCTAACCCAGCAGAATGGGTGCCAAGCACTAACCCTGTCCTATGTAAGTCTCAGCAGCCCCCGCAGAGTAAATCTTGGGTCAGTTTGCCCCCAGGTCATGTCACTTGGAAGCAAGGAAATGAGCCGGTGCGGGGGGGTTGGGGGGGACGGAGGGGGCGGGGGGATCCAAACCACCAAGCAGCACTGCCTCTGGTGTCAGAAAAAGAAAAGATCAAGTCAGATGAAAGAAGTCCATTTACATCCATCTATCTATGAGAACTTGGCCAAGATAAAGGTGCAGTCCCAGGGGAGCTCACAATGGTAGAGCACCTTCCTTCATTTTCCTGTGCTCCTGGTCCCAAGGACAGTGTGAGGAACACAAGTAGATGCTTGACACATACAAAATGTGACTTGGCTTTCAAACGTTTTCAGCAACAGCACTGCCACCAAACAGATCATAGAGTGATAACATAAATAGAAACTATTCTCAGAAAAAGCAAACAAACAACGACAACCAAAAACTCTGCAGTGCCTCTGATTTTCACAGCACGTAGTAGGTACTCTACAAATATTTGTTAAAGGAACGCATTCAGGTAAACCATACCAGGGTTTACCTGAATCTCCTTAAGGTAGGTGAGGCTCTCAGCTCTGCTACTCACTAGCCCATTGACTTTGAATGAGTCACTTAACCTCTTAAGTTTCCTCACCTGGAACATGGACATTTGTACCTTCTCGTGCCACCTGTTGTGATGACTAAACAAAATGACACAGGTGACACAACTGGCCCAGGACTTGTCATGAATATGCACTTAACATATGTGAGTTCTCACTTCGCCCAGCTCCTCCGATGTCTGAGTTTAATTTTGGAGAATTCTAAGTAGTGTAGTTTCATTTTCTCCAGTGTTTTCCATTCATTTCTTTTCTTTCTTCCTTTCTTTCCCTTTTTTCCCCTAGTCTGCTTACAAATAAGCAACTTACAAGAAAAATAAATATGCACAAAGGCAGCTTAGAGTGAGGTCAGAAATAGATAGCAGGGAGGATGGTATTTCCCAGCCTGGATTCTGGATCTGGAGTCAGACAATTTGGATAAACACCTAGATCTGCCACTTATTGTGTACATTTAGTAGAAGCCTTATTTACCTGCACCTCCATTTTGTCACCTATAAAATGGATGTGATACTCATGGTGCCTACTTCATAGGGTTCTGGTGAGGATGAAAGATTTTAATCCATGTAAAGACCTGAGGACTGTGCCTGGCACACAGTAAACGGTCTGCAAATGTAGATTATTAAGACTGTCCCAGGAACCTAAGATTGGCCAATACCTGCATCAGAGGATTTAAAAAACCCAGAGATGCCAGGCAACCAAAGCCAAAAAATGGATAAGAGCAAGAAGTCTTCAAATAGAGCTCAGCAACCTTCCACGAATGCCCACAAATTACACATGAAAATATTCTGGCATGTGCTTATGAACATTTTCTGAGGAAAGAATACTAAACTTCTGTTTCTAAAGGATTCTGTGACCCAAAGTGAGTTAAAACCAACCACTTACTGGATGACCTCTTAAGCTCTTTGGTCTCCAAGATTCTAGAATTTCATTGTGGTACTTACCCTTTTGGACAGCAAGTCCCAGAATACAGAAACAAAGTTGTTGCTGCAGTCTTTCTTCCAGTGTGGACAAGACTGATAGTTCATTTCTAAAAGACACAGTTTACAGAAAAGTAATTAAAGTGGAAAAGAAAAGGTATAATTGATCTCTGTTCTTCACGGGCTATTGGATCACAGTGGAGCTGCTTTCCAGTGGCATCCCTGCCAAGATGGAGGATGGAGAATGGACACATCTCAACCCAATTTAACTAAGTGCCCCCTGAATCCCTTCCAAGTCCTTACCTTACCCTCCAAATCCCAGACAGGAACACAGTGACCAGCTTTGAGTCATCATTCCGGGAAATTACAGCAAAAGTTCATCTGACAGAGACAAGCCCCCCTGTATTATTTCCGCTTCCAGGAAGAATTAGAGATAATTTCCTCCCCCACCACCTTCTGTCTCCACACCCTTAGGCTCAGATGCCCTCAGAGCCTTTCTACACTCGCCCCATCCAGACAGGCTCAGCTGTCAGTGAGGAACCACAGGCATAAGTCATGAACACATAGTTTCTGTGACACTTCTTCCAAGGATATCTGCTTTAACGTACCAGCATTTTTTTTTATCAAGGTATAATTGACAAAATTGTAAGATACTCAAATGGTACAGTGTAACGATTTGATACGCATACACATTGTGAAAAGATTCTCCATCAACTTAATTAATATGTCTATCACCTCATATTCTTTTTTTTTTTTGATGAGAACTTTGAAGTTCTACTCTCTTAGCAAATTTCAATTATACAATACAGAGTTAACAGTTATAGTCACCATGTTACACCTTAGATCCTCAGATCTTATCTGTCTTATAAATAAAAATTTGTACCCTTTTACCAACTTCGCCCTATTTCCTCCACTTTCCAGCCTTTGGAAACCACTTATCTACTCTGTCTTTATGAGTTCCACCTTTTTTTTCCGGATTCCATATATAAGTGATACCATGCAGTATCCGTCTTTTTCTGTCTGATTTATTTCACTTAGCATAAAGTCCTCCAGTTTCACAGTGTTGTCACAAATGATGGGATTTCCTTCTTTTTAAAGGTTGAATAATATTCCGTTGTGTGTGTATTTACATATATATACATACACATATATACACATATATGTACATGCATATATATACACACACATATACATATACACATATATGTACGTACATATATATACATATACACATATATGTACGTACATATATATACATATACACATATATGTACGTACATATATATACGTATATACATATATATATACACACACATATATATGTGTGTGTATATATATATATATATATCACATTTGCTTTATCCATTGCATTTGACTACACAAACATTTATTGAGTGTTAGGCCCTGGAGATAGAGAGATGAATTAGATAAAGGCCCTGCCTTCAGAGGCCACATAATCTACTATAATCAAATAAATCAGAGAAAGAGCAACTTGGGTTGGGGGTGGTGTGCAGCACCACGTGGGAAGGTTGATGTTGAACTAGGTTTTGAAGGATGAATAGAAGTCTTCAGACAGACGCGCTAGAGAAAGGGGCTCCATGCTGAGAGAGCATGTGCAAAGGCACCGGGTTTAGAGTTGTACCGCCAGAGTAGAAGGGATAAGGAGGGGATAGATGGAAGATGAGACATACGAAAGACAAAGGCCAGGCCAGGCCAAGGAATTCCGACTGTATCTTAGAGGCAAACAGAGCTATTTGGGTTTTAAGTAAGAGACAGAAACAATTCCATTGTGGTGGCCAGACGGAGGCTGACCTAAAGGGGTCAGGGGTGAGCAGTTAGGATCCGACAACAGTCCAGCAAGAAAGGAGGGGCCATTAGTTATCTGGATTCAGGCAGTTGTAACAGGCACAGGAAAGAAAGGATGAACTGCTAGGTAAATGACTAGGTTGGAGACAGACTGGGTATGGCAGAGGAGGATGGAGTGAGAATGAAGGCAGAGTCTGGGATTGTCTCACCTCAACTTTGCATCATCCAGCAGGTAGGGGAAGTGCAGGGTGAGAAGCCCTGGAACCACCCTCTCTTGGTGTCCCAGAAATCAGGCATGCGGCAGCCACCTATTTCCTCTGTGGGTACTTGTACAGCTGACCCTGCACAAATACCCATCTTTCTACTTCCACTTTGTTATAGGTTGAATCGTGTACCAGCAAAAGATATGTTGAAGTCCTAACCCCCAGTACCTGGGAATGTGATCTTTTATTTGGAAAAGGGTGTTTGCAGATGTAATCAGGTCAAAATGAGATCATTAGTGTGGGTGGTCCTAATCCAGTAAGACTGTTGTCCTTATAAGAAAGGGAAGTTTGGTCACAGAGACAGACAAGCACAAAGGGAAGGCTCTGTGAAGATGCATAGGGAGAAGACAGCCATGTGAAGATGGAGGCAGGGACTGGCGTGAACCAAGGAACATCAAGGGTTGCCAGCAAACACCAGAAGCTAGAAGAGGCAAAGAACTCTCCCTGGAGCCTTCAGAGAGAGCACGGCCCAGCCAACACCTTGATCTAGGACTTCTAGCCTCCAGAACCGTGAGAAAATAAATTTCTATTGTTTTAATGCCACCCAATATGTGGTACCTCATTACGGCAGCCGCAGGAAACTAATATAACCACAGACGTGGGCTTGACTGCCAATGACCAGAAAGAAAGTTCTAGATCAGATACACTTCTGGGGATGAGGAAGTAATCCTGGGAGTTTTTATAATAATTAAATGTATTAAAAACAAAGCAGCACAAATTAGAAAAAAAATCAATGTACAGATGCAAATAATTACTGCGGAGTCAAAAGATAAATTTGAATCATCTCCAATAGAAGCAAAAATGTTGATGATGATGAAATGAACATAATTTTGTAAGGTGCTACAAGGGCGCCCCTGTTCATAGGTTTTCATGAACATAAAGCTCTTTTTTCTTCACAACCATATCTGGAGAGAAGTCTCTGAGTTTCACCTACCCTCTCCCCACAAGGATGCTCCCCCTTGCCACCTGCCCATTAAATAAAATTTGAACGTCACAGAGGAAAGGAAAAGGAGAGAAATTTTACAATAAAGTAAGAGAAATTAAGTATATAAAAAAGCAGAATAAGAAGTAAAAAAAAGGGACAGATTAGAAGGTTATAACAGAAACTATGACTTTCATAATAAAACAAGTAAACAAAGCAAAACTAAGGTAGAAAAAAATTAAGGAAAAAGTGTTTAAGCCAGACAATAGAAAATTTTAAATATAAAAATTAGGAACCAGAAAGACAGCAAATAAAATAAGGAAAAGAGGTTAAAATCAATAAAAATTGAGGCCAAAGGAGAAGGAAGTAGACAGAATAAAACAACCTATACAGGATTCAGATGAATAGAAAGCAGAAATAAAGAACTCTAAAAGGTAAACTGATGAGAAATAGATTTTTTTATTTCTCCAATCTTTTCTAAGAAAGAACTGATGTGGTATATTGAAAAATAAAAATAAAAGCAAAGTTTATAGGAAATACATTTAAGCTAAAAGGGTTAAATGAATGACCTTGAAAAGCTAACTTGCAATAAGGGAAATTTAAAAAGGAAAGCAAGAAATATGGCAAAAACTATAAAAGTTAACCAAAAAGAAAAAGAGTAAATGGAGAGATATATTTATATGCCATATTTCTAGGTGGAAAGAGTCTGGATTAAAGACTAATTGAAAAGTTACAAAATATAACACAAGACACATACAACCACTCTACACCGAGACAACCATTCTGCTTTTCACTTTCAGTACAGTATTCAACAAATAACATAAGCTATTCAACACCTTATAAAATAAGCTTTGCATTAGGTGATTTTGCCCAACTATAGGCTAATGGAAGTGTTCTGAGTACATTTAAGGTAGGCTAGGCTAAGCTACGATGTTCAGTAGGCTAGGTGGATTAAACACATTCCTGACTTATGATATTTTCAACTTATGATGGGTTTATGGGGACATAAGGAAGATCTGTATGTATTTATATGAGCGCAGGGAAATGCAGGGTATGTACCAAATTGTTGACAACAGTCCCCCTTTGGGAAGGAGCATGAAAATTGAGGAGTGGAGGAAATGGAATTTTTACTTTTTACTTTGATGCATTTCTGTATATGCAAGTATTTTTCAATTAAGAGTGTATCTTGGGCTTCCCTGGTGGCGCAGCGGTTGAGAGTCCGCCTGCTGATGCAGGGGACACGGGTTCGTGCCCCGGTCCAGGAAGATCCCACGTGCCGCGGAGCAGCTGGGCCCGTGAGCCATGGCCGCTGAGCCTGCGCGTCCGGAGCCTGTGCTCCGCAACGGGAGAGGCCGCAGCAGTGAGAGGCCCGCGTACCGCAAAAACAAACAAACAAAAAAAGTACATCTTTTTTGTAATTGGAAATAATGCAAATCTGGTTGAAGAAGCTACTACAATAAGTTTTTTTAAATAGTCAAAAGCAATAAAAATAAGAATAAAACTATATAAAGTAAAAATTATAAATAATTTTTAATTATTATAAATAAAAAGAGAAAAAAAAATGAAATAAGCTCAATCGGGCTTTCTCAGTGGAAAACATCTCCCCACAGTGAAGTGTTTTGGGTCTTTCTGGGCAAGGAAAGTGACCTCTGATCAATGGCAAAGCCACACACTGGCCCTAGACACAGAGAAGCCCGGCATGTGGTCCCTACGGCTGTTCTGTGGAACAAGGACTTTGGCTTGGTTCCCTCGGAGTCCTCATTCTGTTCTAGAATTCTTTGGTCCTGAATGATGCCCTTATAGAAAGTAAAACACCAACAATTCAGAAGCAGGCTACTCTTGCACTCAGAAAGGAGGGAATCGGGAAGCATGAACAGCCCTAAACTCTGAAGTCAATTTTTCTAGAAAACATGAGTTGGTCTACAGAATGCTGTTTGACATGAGCCTGAGTTGTCATTAAGGGTATAGATGCCATCAGGGTGGGCACCTGTGGCTCCTTCCTCCACACTGATCTTCTGGGATCCCTAGCAGAGCTCAGGGCTCCTGCACCCTGCACGTCTCCAGGTGACCCCAAATGGACCAGATCCTCACCATAAGAGCCTGCATCTCCGCACCATCTAAGGTCATCCGCAATGTAACCCAGCAGTGTGTCTTCCAGGGTGAACATCTCTCGCTGGACCTTCGTGTACTGATGTGCCAACTCCTTGGTTTTGCTCCAAAAGACTGTCTAAGAGAGAATAAAGACAATCTATTATTGAGATCAATTTACTAAGTCAAAAAAACTCCACCGAATTTGCATCTTTTTAAATGAAAGAAAACATAGGAAACATCAGAATAAATCACCTATAGTAAGAGTAGGTGTTGCAGGTTTCACGGATCTCTGTGTGTGAGAATGAGAGAGAGTACATGTGTGGAGGGTGTGTGTGTGTGTGTGTGTGTGTGTGTGTGTGTGTGTGTGTGGTGTGTGTGTGTGTGTTCTCTAGGTCATGATGTAAAACGAAGTTATTATTCTGGATTGCAGGGAAAAAAGTCTGAAAGCCACTGATCAAAATCTTATAATAAACCTAAGCTCCAAACACATCTGGGGGAGGCATTAGGTAGTTTCAAATTCCTAAAGTTCTCCGCAAAACAATTTTTTCTAAGTGCTATTTTCTGGGAGAAGTGCCCTTTGATTCTTAAACAGCTCCATAACGCCTGCTTTTTGCCCCGAAATCTCCCCTATCCCCTTACAAAAAAAGGAAAAGAACAAATACAGTGAGTTTTTGCAGGGTCCCTTGTAAAGGTGCAGAAAGTTAAATTTCAGAACAATCTTCTGCTCCATGGAGCTATTCATTCTTAGTAGGAGGCAGTGGAGGTTTGAAGCCGGGGCCCTGGAGTCATGCTGCCTTATGAAACCCAGCATCACTGCTCACTGGCTGTCTGACCTTGGACAACCAAAGAATTGCTAAGCCTCATATTCCCCATCTGTAAAAGGTATCGATAATAATTGTAAGGAAGTCCTGAGATGCTGAGATGAAATGAGACAATGCAAATAAGGTGTTTGTCCCGTGTCTGTGGGCAGTCACTTATTCAGCCAGTGTCCCCTGGTGGTGATTTACCAGCAGCTACTCTGTGTTGGGCTTTGGGCTTGGTGTACACACCGGAGCTCCATAGTCGCTCCAGCTCTAACAATGGGAGAGACTGTAATTTGTGGCTGTCTTAAGGGCTTCGTGAAGATGATTTGGGGCACATTGAATTTTCACTTTAAACACTGACTTTAGAAAAGATGCACTCCATTACAGACCTTTTCCAGTATAATTAATGTATTAAAACCTAGGCCTCTATGGCTCTAAATCTTGGGCCATTTACATTTCAACTGGTCACTTTCAAGACCATCAAACCTGAGTAATCACTGGTCACCTAAACTTGCCAAGCCTCAGTTTTCTCTCTAGTGAAATGGGATTGCTGATATCTGACCTACCTATTCCACAAGTTGACTGTGAAAACCTAACAGAATAAAGATTCAGAAAGTCCTTTGGAAGCAAATAAAGGCCCTCAGCAAATGCAAAATGGCATTGTCGTCGTCATCATCATCGGAGGTCAGGGAGAGTTTTGCAGTTCTATAAGGTGAATTATTTTGGTTTGGATTGGGTTGGGGTTTGTGTTAGGTTTGTTTTGCCTGATTTTTGTCCGACTCTCCTTTCCTCTTTCTCTGTCCCCAGTTCTCTCTCTTACCTCCAGTCCCCAGATGTTCTAAATCCCAATGACATCCTGGTCTCCCAATGGACCCCAAGCTCCCTCCCTGCCAACCATGCCTACATCCTAATATACAGATTTTCCTCTTCCCTCATCCTGGTCAAAATGTGGTCCCATGGGCTTCCCTGGTGGCGCAGTGGTTGAGAGTCCGCCTGCCGATGCAGGGGACACGGGTTCGTGCCCCGGTCCGGGAAGATTCCACATGCCTTGGAGCGGCTGGGCCCGTGAGCCATGGCCGCTGAGCCTGTGCGTCCAGAGCCTGTGCTCCGCAACGGGAAAGGCCACAACAGTGAGAGGCCGGTGTACCGCAAAAAAAAAAAAAGTGGTCCCATGACCTCTTCCCTTTGACTTTTATCTTTAGTTTTTAAATCGATAACTTGGCCCAGTTACCTTGTCACAAGGCACAGTTTGCTTCACCAGCTTCAACAGTGGGTGGTAGTCTTCCTCTGTCGCACTGCAGGGGTCCTTAGAGATAAATGCATTCCTGAATGCCTCCCTGATCTTTTGGCAGTCTCTATCTCTGTGAGATAAAACATGGGAAATAAAATAAAAGATGAATAATTAGATTTCAAACATATGTTTAGAGCATAATTACCCCCCCCAAAATCTGTGTGCCAAGTGGTTCATATACATCATCACGTCTCGTGTGTACAACAGTTTTATGAGATGAGCATCACCCTCCCTGCCCTACAAGTTCCCTGCACTCCTGGGGCTTACTCTCTGGTTAGAGAGACAGACAGTAAACAAACAAGCAGATAAGCTAACAAAATAAGTATGGATTATGATAAGTATGCAGGAAATCAGTGGGGAATATTGAAGCAATGACCACTGGTCTGGAGAGGGCTCCCTGAGACTAAATGTTGAGAAGGAGTGCATTCCAGACAGAGGGTGCCGGAAGTGCAAAGGCCCTGAGGCAGAAAAGAACTTGCTGATTTTGAGGAAGTGAGAAAAGAACAAAGGGAGTGGTGGTGAGAAATAAACAAAAATAATCAGTCTTTCAGACAAGGAAACAATTTCAAATTTTACCTAATTACCATGGGAAAGCAGTGGATTGGTTTAAGCATGGAAGTGGCCTCATCTGATTTTTGTTTTTGATAAAGTCACTCTGAAAAACTCTGTGCCAGCCCCAAAGATGGAGCAAAGTCTCTGAAATAGGAATTCCAACCCCATGTCCTCTCCAAACAGCCCCTGGCAGTGAAAAGGCAGGCTGGCGAAGCAGCAGAGATGGAGGGGAGGGAGGGATGCTGGAGAAGATTGCAGCTGGACCTTCCCTTCTGTGTCTGTGTTAACTAGTGCACCTGAGCTCATCACTTCCTGGGGTGAAGGAAGTGGGTTTCCACTGGGAGTGCTCAGACACGGTTATCAGGACAAACTCCAGCCTTTGGACCCAGCATCCCAAGTGCAGTACCAGGTCAGGCAGCTAAACCTGGGGGAATAAAGACGAGCCCCTCGTTTCCTATTCCCTCTGAGCCTGCTCTGGCCCTGCAGGGCACTAACAAGGCAGCCATTCCAGAGGGTCTTTTGCCTTCCCAACTCAGGCTGGCCAAGTCGAGTGGATTATTCCTCCTGATAAGCCAAGGAATCAGAGGATACCTGTGAGACACAGGGCCTTACACCAAAGCCACCCTGTGTATGTTGGAGACTCATCTTCTCAGTCCAAAAAAGCTGCTCCAGTTCCAGCCATCATGACTACATTGCAGCCAGCAGGAAAGGTTAGGGAAAAGAAAGAGGACAAGAAAGGAGAAGGGAAAAGTAACAGCTGCAATGGGCATGTGCCAGCTGCCTTTTAAGGACAGGTGCTAGAAGATGTTCTTGCTATTTGCTCTTATCATATTTGCTAAAATGTAGTCATGGGCACACTTTGCTACAAGGAAAGATGAGAAATGCAGCCTTTAATGTTGATGGCCATTCCACATCTAAAAGTACAGTTTTACCACAATGAGATATCACTTCACACCTGTCAGAATGGCTATCATCAAAAAGAACACAGGGCTTCCCTGGTGGCGCAGTGGTTGAGAGTCTCCCTGCCAATGCAGGGGACATGGGTTCATGCCCTGGTCTGGGAAGATCCCACATGCCGCGGAGCGGCTGGGCCCGTGAGCCACGGCCGCTGTGCCTGCGCGTCCAGAGCCTGTGCTCCACAACAGGAGAGGCCACAGCAGTGAGAAGCCCGTGTACTGCAAAAAAAACAAAAACAAAAACAAAAACACAAACAACAAATGTTGGAGAGGATGTGGAGAAAAGAGAACCATCCTACGCTGTTGGTGGGAATGTAAATTGGTGCAGCCACTGCAGAAAACAGTATGGAGGTTTCTCAAAAAACTAAAAATAGGACTACAGTATGATCCAGCAATTCTACTTCTAGGGATATATCTGAAAAAAATCAAAAACACTAATTTGAAAAGATACATGCACCCCAGTGTTCATAGCAGCATTATTTATAAGTTCCAAGATATGGAAGGCCCTAAGTGTCCATCAACAGATGAATGGATAAAGAAGATGTGGTGTATACATATACAATGGAATATTACTCAGCCATGAAAAAGAATGAAGTTTTGCCATTTGGAGCCATATGAATGGACTTGGAAGGCATTATGCTAAGTGAAGTAAGTCAGACAGAGAAAGACAAATACTGTATGATCTCACTTATAAGTGGAATCTAAAAAATGCAACAGACGAGTGAATACAACAAAAAAGAAGCAGACCCACAGATACAGAGGATAAACTAGTGGTTACCAGTGGGGTGGAGGGACAAGCAATATGGGGTGGGGGAGTGGGAGGAACAAACTATTGGATGTAAGGTAGACTCAAGGATGTATTGTACAACATGGGGATATAGCCAATATTTTATAATAACTGTACATGGAAAGCGACCTTTAAAAATTGTATAAAAAATTAAAATAAAAAACCCCAAAAATTTAGAATAAAAAAATCATGAAAGCAGAGTTTTAATTCTAGAGAAGGGGCCAGCCTGCAGGCTCTGTCCCAGGAAGGTACCACCATTGTCCCATTTTACTGATAAAGAGGAAAATTTAAGGCTGTGAATTTAACCAAGGTGCCCGAGGTAATATGATCAGTAAGTAGTAAAGCGGGATTGGACCCCAAATCTGTGGGAGCTTCCCACATGGCTACAGCCTTACCGGGCAGGCTATTAAACTGTTCCAGCCTGTTGTCTTCATCTGTAAGAGGGAGATAAGAATACTTCATGCCTGGGAAGTTTTGGAGGATTAAAGGAGATAACACTTGGCTTGGCCCCCGGCCCCCGGCTCTTTCATGGACGCCTCTCCCCTTCCCCAGCATGCAAGAGACCGTTCACCTGCATCACTGCTGGCCCGTGAAAGCTCTGCCGGGAAACCATTATCCACCTGGCTCTGCCCATACATTATATATTTAAGAGAAAAACGTTCTTACATTATGTACTTCGACATCAGTCCAAGTTTACGGGGCACCATCACGGGAAGTTTAGAGCAAAGGTGTTTGGAGACTGTTTTACTTTAGAGGACCATGTTTTACTTCAATTAATGTAATGCAGTGGCCCTCACAGGAATTTCCTGTTCTGATCCCAACTCCCTCGTAAACTCTTCTGCCTCCCTCCTCAGCCACAAAGAGTGGAAGAGGAGAGACATCTCCTTGACGTGGAAGGACAAGAGAATTTTCCACCACAAATAAGCTGGCAGTGCAGCGAAATCACCGTGCGCTGGGCACCTACCATATACCAGATGCTTTCACCACCAAAAACGGGAGAACTCACAGACCTCCAAGAAGATTTTTATGCTTTTGGGGTATATAGACCCCTTCAAGACACATTACCTTAAGAATTCAAGAAACCCCAGGTTAAAAATTAAACCGAGTTCCTTGTTTAGAAGGAGCAGAGTTTAAAACATCAGAGTTGAAACAGACCTTGGAAGAGTTTATAACTCATCCATCTTCCCTTTCACTGTCTGAGACCAGAGCCTCCTACATGCTCCAAAAGTAAGAGGAAATAGGGAGAGGTGATGAGAAGGTTGGGGGCAGGCTTTATGAAGCCACTTTTCATCCTTAAAATCTGGGGGGGTAGGTAATAAATTTGGAGTTTGGGATTAAAATATACACACTACTAGAAATAAAATAGATAACCAACAGGGACCTACTGTATAGCACAGGGGACTATACTCAATATCTTGTAATAACCTATAATGGAAAAGAATCTAAAAAAGAATATATATCTATACATATATACATATATAAACAATCACTTTGCTGTATACTTGATACTAACACGACATTGAAAATCAACTATATTTCAACAAAAATGCTTAAAAAATCAAAAGTAAATATTTCACCGTGGATGAGCAATAAGCATTTTAATTGGTAGATAGATAGAAAGATAGATGGATGGAAAGAAAGAGGGAATTCCCTGGCGGTCCAGTGGTTAGGACTCCACGCTTCCACTGCAGGGAGCACAGGATTGATCCCTGGTCAGGGAACTAAGATCCCACATACAACGCTGCACAGCCAAAAAAATAATAATATATATATAGATATAGATATAGATAAAAATAAAAAGAAATTAGGACAGAGGGTACAGAGATGTCAGCAGTACTCATTCATACATGTCATTGCAGACATGGGCCTCAAGTTCACAAGTGTGGCTGGAAAAATGTGAGCCCTTAATTTAGTTATTTTTATTTGCAAAGCCCACAGTCCTCATTTTTGTCCCCCTGGGTAGAGCACCGTTCCATCAAATCAAATGGCAGCCAAGCAAAAGCTGTTTCGAGTAAGCAGGCTGGTTTCAAGAAAACAGAGGGCCTCAGGATCCCTGCGTCCTGCGGGGATGGAAGCAGATGTCTCTAACTAAAGAGGCGGCGTGGGAGAAGTAAGAACCATTTCTGAGAGTTCAGTATCGTTCTTCTCTTCAATAGCTCCTCTGTTCCAAAATTAGAGGCTTTAATTGTGACACTTCTAGGGCGGCCTACCCTTCGCTGTGAAGGGGATTGTTAGCCCAGCGGCTGTTCCTGAGAGCTCAGGCCATGCCTGTGGCCCCTACTCATGGTCACCTGGCCCAGAGGGTTGTTGGGCGTCACCGGGTCTTGTGAGCTCTGGCCACACATGAGGATCCCCTGGAGAGCTTTGGGAAACACACAGTGCCTGGCTCTGGACCAGCCAAGGCAGGATGAGGGAAGGGGAAGAGAGAAGAACCTGTAATTTTCCAAAAGCTTCCCATTCCCACCTCCTCCCAGACCCCTGGAAACAGCCCTCCTACTTCCTGTCTCAATGAATTTGAAGACTGTAGTTACCTCCTATAAGTGGACTCAGACAGTATTTTTCTTTTTGTGACTGGCTTATTTCACTGAGTATAATTACCTCACGGTCTGTCCATGTTGTAACATGTGTCAGAATGTCCTTTCTTCGGGCTGAATAACATTTCATCGTAGGTATTCACCACAGTTTGTTTATCTCTTCACCCATCATGGGCACTTGGGTTACTTCCTCCACCCATCCTTTCATTCCACAAATACTTACCAAGGACCTACTGCTAGC